ACAAATGAACTTATGTACGAAACAGAAACAGACTCACAGACATAGAAAACAGATTGGTGGTTGCCAAGGGGGCGGGAGGTGGGGGAGGGATGGATTGGGAGTTTGGGGTTAGCAGAGGCAAACTATTATACATAGCATGGATAAACGACAAGGTCTTGCTGTATAGCACAGTGAACTATAACCAATCTCCTGGGATAAACCATAAGGGAAAAGAATATGAAAAAGAATGTATGTATAAGAGAATCACTCTGCTGTAGAGCAGAAATTAACACAACACTGAAAATCAACTATAATTCAGTAAAATAAGTTTAAAAAAAAAAGGAATCCTTTCCTTTCCCTATGTCATAAAGGCCTTCCATGGCAGTTACACATTCAGGCTCTCATTCCATCTGGAGTTTGTTGTTATGGAGTGTGAGGTGAGGGTCTGGCTGCCCTTCCCTGCAGAGAGGCGACCCTCTCAGCGCCGTTTACTGACCTGCCCAGACTTCCCATCCACATGAGCCTCTTCTGCTCACATACAAGCTCCCACATATGCCTGGGTTGGAGTCAACTCCACCGATGGACCAGACCATCACTGGGCCAAGGCGGAGCTGCTGTGATCACCAAGGCTTATGGTGGCAGAGACGCTGCCCATCTCCCGTCTCAGAGTCGTCTCAGGTATTCCAAGACCCTACTCTTCCTTTGTGTGATTTCATACTCCATATCAAAACCTATCAGCACTTAGGTTGCTTCCATGTCCTGGCTATTGGGAACAGAGCTGCAGTGAACATTGTGGTACATGACTCTTTTTGAATTATGGTTTTCTCAGGGTATATGCCCAGTAGTGGGATTGCTGGGTCATACGGTAGTTCTATTTTTAGTTTTTTAAGGAACCTCCATACTGTTCTCCATAGTGGCTGTATCAATTTACATTCCCACCAACAGTGCAAGAGGGTACCCTTTTCACCACACCCTCTCCAGCATTTATTGTTTGCAAATTTTTTGATGATGGCCATTCTGACTGGTCTGAGCTGATACCTCATTGCAGTTTTGATTTGCATTTCTCTAATGATTAGTGATGTTGAGCAACCTTTCATGTGTTTGTTGGCAATCTATATATCTTCAGATGAATGGGTAAAGAAGATGTGGCACATATATACAATGGAATATTACTCAGCCATAAAAAGAAATGAAACTGAGTTATTTGTAGTGAGGTGGATGGACCTAGAATCTGTCATACATAGTGAAATAAGTCAGAAAGAGAAAAACAAATACCGATGCTAACACATATATATGGAATCTAAAACAGAAGATGGTTCTGATGAACCTAGGGACAGGACAGGCACAAAGATGCAGACATAGAAAATGGACTTGAGGACACGGGGAGGGGGAAGGGTAAGCTGGGATGAAGTGAGAGAGTGGCATGGACATATATACACTACCAAATGTAAAATAGATAGCTAGTGGGAAGCAGCCGCATAGCACAGGGAGATCAGCTCGGTGCTTTGTGACCACCTAGAGGGGTTGGATAGGGAGGGTGGGAGGGAGATGCAAGAGGGAGGAGATATGGCGATATATGTATATGTACAGCTGATTCACTTTGTTACAAAGCAGAAACTAACACACCATTGTAAAGCAATTATACTCCAATAAAGATGTTAAAATAATTTTTTTAATTAAAAAAAATACTTTGTTAAAAAAAAAATGAAGTAATACCACATGGTTTGAACAGTAAATGCCAATATGTCAAACTCCACTATAAAAAGATAAAAATTCCCAAACTGTCAAAATCAAAAATAAATAAATAGCTCGTACCTGGCTTAAAAAAAAAACAAACCTATCAGTACCACAACTAGACGACACTGAATTTACACGTTAATCCAGGGGACCTGTGACAGTCAGCCCTCCCTCCCATCAAGAACATAATCTGTCTCTCCATCATTCAGGCCTTCTTTCTCCCAATGCTTCTTTAAATGTTTTGTAATCTTTTCCACGAAAGTCTCGCACTTCTCTAAGATTTATTCCTAAGTCTCTAACAGTGCCTATGCTGCAGGGAATTATAATTCCTCTCATCTTTGCAGCTGTGGCCACTGTCGGGCAGCTCCTGTTAATCAAGCACCCACTCAACTCTCTCATTAGTTGGTCTCCAGCTTCTCTCGGATTATCATTGTGGCTAATTTTGTCATCTGTCAAGAGTGACACTTGACTCTTCCCAATCTTTATTCCTTTTTTTGTAAATTGTGTTGCATTATCTGGGGCCCCCAGGGCCAAAAGAGGCTCATTTGTCTTGTTCCTGATGATGCATATTTTTAAATGGAGCGGATCCAGAGCCTTTATCAGACTCTGAAAAGGATCCACGATTCAAGAAAGATGAAAAACCACTGGTCTAATTTACCTTTGCACCACATAAACAGAATCAGGTTATCAGTTGTATGAAAGAAAGAAAGTAAAGCAATCAAGCCAGAACTTGAGCGCAGCAAAGACTCAGGAGAAAAAGAGTCAGGGCAGGTACTGGGCATAACACTAACTGCCCATGAAGGGTTTGGGGAAAGAG